GGAAAAAATGCAAAGATTTAGGGGGTATGTCGAAAAGAAGCCAAGGATAACGATACCATGCAAGAAGCGGTAAAGGCCTGTTGTGGAAAAAGGAAATAATGCAAACAAACCAAATGCAAGAGCGGAAGGGCCTGAAACAAAGCCAAATGCAACAAAGCAAGAGCGGTAGGCTGGTGTCGAAAAAATGGCCGATGCAACGGAGATATACTTACTCCCTCTATACCATGCAAGAGCGGTAAGGCCTGTTGTGGAAAAGGAAATAAATGCAAAGATTTAGGGGGTAGGTGTCGAAAAGAAGCCAAATGCAACGGAGATATACTTACTCCCTCTGTACCATGCAAGAGTGGTAAGGTCTGTTGTGAAAAGGGAACAACTTGTAAATCACTAAGTGGACAGTGTAAAAAGGAAGACACATGTCAAAGCAAAGTGTTAAACCCCAGCAAGAAGTGCAAAGCTGGTAAGGTATGCTGCTTAATCCGCACCTGTCGCGACCGAGGAGGGAAGTGTAAGAAGGAAGGAGAGTGCAGCGGTAGAATCGTCAAGGTGAAGAAGCCATGCAAGGAACCCAAAGTCTGCTGTCTAGGTAAGTGAAAGGAAATTAAGTAAAGCACAGACGCACAAGTAATATATTTACGTAAACTTATATGCACTGCATTGTTATCGCTATAATCATAATAAAATGAGTTCAGTGATGATAATAGTAGCCATATTGACATTAAGAGTTATGGTAATGACAGGAAGACAAGGGAGAAAAAGAAAAAAAGCCGTAATATGACATAAAACCAATGGCACTAATGTCACTATCCAAAACACTAACCAGGCGATATTGATAACTGCGTCATAACAAGCAATAAGGATATTGACAAATACGTGCAATGCATTAAACAAGTAATTTGCTTCACTAACCTGTATTCGTATTACGATAACAGTAATAATCAGAATGATAGTGATAATTATCATGTTGCATTATTTCTAATTAAGGTATTGCTAATACTAACATAATGATAATGAACACGATTTAGATACAAATATACAGGTAAACCATGATCATTCTGACCTTCTGACACTATGAAGAGGTAATAATGCCGATGATAATGATTATCATGATAGTAATAGTGATAATAATAATGATTACCATTATCATTGTTATTATGATAATAAGAAGAAATGCAATTGTAATAATGTAACAATGGTTGGTACAAATAATTATTATACTTATGATACAGTGATAATGATAATTATGATAATTGATGGTGGTTATTATAATGGTGAAGAAAATAGTAATAGAAATAACGATGATCATGATAATAATAAGGATGAAAATGTTATTGATGTTAACAGCGATACATTTATAATAATATAAAATGTATTAACATTTATATTGAAAGGATTATGATAAAAGGAAAATCAAGATATCAGCAAAAGTAATTATCATTGTTGTNCGAATACTGCAGATACAACTACTGCAGAACAACCACTACAGATATTACAACGACTGCAGATATTACACCACTGCAGATACAACCACTACAGATTACAACCAGATACAAACTACTGCAGATACAGCCACTGCAGATACAACCCACTGCAGATACAAAACCAGATACACCACTGCAGATACAACCACTGCAGATGTAACCACTGCCGATACAACTACTGCCGATACAACCCCTGCAGATACAACCACTGTAGATACAACCACTGCAGATATTACAACCACTGCAGATATTACAACCTACTCGCTTACTACTGCAGATACAACACTGCGAGATACAACCACTGCAGATACAACCACTGCAGATACAACCACTGCAGATACAACCACTTCAGATACAACTACTGCAGATACAACCACTGCAGATATTACAACGCCTGCAGATACAACCACTGCAGATATTACAACGACTGCAGATACAACCACTGCAGATACAACCACTGCAGATATTACAACCACTGCAGATACAACTACTGCAGATACAACCACTGAAGATAAACATGCAACACTGCAGATACAACCACTGCAGATACAACCACTGCAGATACTGAAGATACAACTACTGCAGATACAACCACTGCAGATACAACCACTGTAGATACAACTACTGCAGATACAACCACTGCAGATACAACTACTGCAGATACAACCACTGCAGATACAACCACTGCAGATATTACAACCACTGCCAACTACTGCAATACAACACTGAGATACAACCACTGCAGATACAACTACTGCAGATACAACACTGCAGATACTGAGATACAACTACTGCGATACAACCACTGCAGATACAACTTACTGCAGATACAACCACTGCAGATACACCACTAGATACAACCACTGCAGATACAACCACTGCAGACAACCACTGCAGATACAACCACTGCAGATACAACCACTGAAGATACAACCACTGCAGATACAACTACTGCAGATACTGCAGATACAACCACTGCAGATACAACTACTGCAGATACAACCACTGCAGATACAACTACTGCAGATACAACCACTGCAGATACAACCACTGAAGATACAATCACTGCAGATACAACTACTGCAGATACAACCACTGAAGATACAACGACTGTAGATACAACTACTGCAGATACAACCACAGCTACTGCAGATACAGATACAACCACTACAGATGCAGAGACTATACAACTACAACCACTGCAGATACAACCACTGCAGATACAACCCAGATACAACCACTTCAGATACAACTACTGCACAACACTGCAGATACAACACTGCAGATACAAACTGGCAGATACAACTGCAGATACAACCACTGCAGTACCACTGCAGATACAACTACTGCAGCACAGATACAACCACTGCAATACACACTGCAGATACAACACTGCAGATACAACCACTGCAGATACACCACTGACCACTGAAGATACAAACTGCTACACTGCAGATACAACGACTGTAGATACAACTACTGCAGATACAACCACCATACAACTACTGCAGATACAACCACTGCAGAATACAAACCACTGCAGCACATACAACTACTGCAGATACAACTACTGCAGATACAACCACTGCAGATACAACTACTGCAGATACAACCACTGCAAACACAGATACAACTACTGCAGATACAACCCACTGCAGATACAACTACTCCACTGCAGATACAACACTGAAGATACAACCACTGCAGCAACTGCAGATACAACCACTGCAGATACAACTACTGCAGATACAACCACTGCAGATACAACCACTGCAGATACAACCACTGCAGATACAACCACTGCAGATACAACCACTGCAGATACAACTACTGCAGATACAACCACTGCAGACAGACTGCAGATACAACCACTGCAGATACAACACACTGCAGATACAACACTGCAGATACAACCACACCACTGGAGATACAACCACTACAGATACAACTACAGATACAACACTGCAGCAGATACAACCACTGCAGACTACAACCACTGCAGACAGCAGATACAACCACTGCAGAACAACTACTGCGATCAACCACTGCAGATACAACACTGCAGATACAACCACTGCAGATACAACCACTGCAGATACAACTACTGCAGATACAACCACTGAGATACAACCACAACCACTGCAGAATACAACACTGATACAACCACTGCAGATACAACAACTGAAGATACAACTGCAGACTGCAGATACAACCACTGCAGATACAACACTGCAGATATTACAACCACTGCTGCAGATACAACTACTGCAGATACTTGCAGATACAACCACTGCAGAACCACTGCAGATACAACCACTGCAGATACAACACTTACAACCACTGCAGACTGCAGACTGCAACCACACAACCACTGAAGAACAACTATAGATACAACTACTGCAGATACAACCACTGCAGATACAACCACTGCAGATACAACCACTACAACCACTGCAGATACAACACACTGCAGATACAACCACTGCAGATACAACCACTGCAGAACACACTGCAGATACAGAACCACTGCACAGATACACACTTAGATACAACCCACTGCAGATACCACTAACCACTGGATACAGACTACAACTGCAGATTACACCACTGATACAACCACTGCAGATACAACCACTGCAGATACAACCACTGCAGATACAACCACTGCAGATACAACCACTTGCAGATACAACCACTGAAGATACAACCACTACAACCACTGCAGATACAACCACTGCAGATACAACCACTGCAGATACAACCACAGATACAACCAGATACCACTGCAGATACAACCACTGAAGATACAACACTGCAGATACAACCACTGCAGATACAACCACTGCAGATACAACACTGCAGATACAACCACACTACTGCAGATACAACAACGACTCCTGATACAACAACTACGGCCATCACAACTACAACCATACCTACCACCACTAGTGCCTTCAACGTAACTGCAAGGCTTCTAGAGCTCGCAACCATCGACCCTTCCCTGGGGGCTCTGGAAGCGGCCCTGGACGAGGCCAGCGACAGACTCGGCACCATCGACAGCACCGGCCGAAGGAGAGTTTCGAGCCAGCAACCACACCGATGGGCGATGCCACTACAACATGCTGACAACCGATGCCACTACAAACCGATGCCACCACAACTGATTCACCACAACTGATGCCACTACAACCGATGCACTACAACCCACCAACCGATGCCACAACTGATGCCACTACAACCGATGCTGATGTCACTGATGCCAACTACAACTGATGCAACCTGCCACTACAACTGATGCCACTACAACCGATGCCACCACAACTGATGCCACTACAACCGATGCCACTACAACTGATGCCACTACAATGATGCACACGATGCCACCACAACTGATGCACTACAACCGATGCCACACAACACACCACAACC